TTTCTCATATATATATATATATATATATATATATATATATATATATATATATACTTTAGTTATATTACATAGACGCATGTGTACATGTGATATTAAATCGTTCATATACGATCCAACGATTTTTGCGACAAACCTTTTGTGAAGGTGTGTAATAATGTGCATTCGCATATTTAGCGCTAAATGTGGAATGTGAGTGTATCAACATTACTTATTAATGGTTTATTAATATAAATAAAATAATAATGAATAAAACATTCAATTATATTACAAGTTTATTGATTAAAACCTCATAATCATTATGTGGTCAATTTAATGCAATTAATATATTACGAATATGTATATGTACATTAAATAGACATGATAAAATCCGAATCACATTTAGCGTTATGTGCAATGCTATATGAAAAAGACATGCTAAGAAAGTTCGATGCAGTATACAAATATATGTGAAAGTCGTTGAATCGTACATAAATAATTCAACACGAGTTAAAGTATCTAACCGCGCTTTACATTTAATTACAATCCTATCGCCCGCGCCATAGAGATGCAATATCGTCTCTTTTGCGAACGATGTTGCGGCCAATCAGTCGACCTTGTTCGAGACGATCCTGAATACCTGTCCGGTAATCCATCACTACTGCTGTGTAATTCTGAAGACTGGCCCGATCCTGAGGAAAAATCTGCGCAGTATCGATCTGAGCTCGGGCTTGAGATCGAAACACATAACTTCGCAGAGGCAGGGATAACAGGTGGAGGCATGAATCGCGAAACGATGATCGTTCATCTTGATGATTCGGGTAAGCAGCAGCAGCAAAATCGGGGTCCAGGCATCGCGGTGAGCCTCGTTAGCGAGCGCCAGAAAATACTCCAGAGCCTCGCATGCTACTTCAACTAGTCGCGCCTCAATCTTGGACCAATCTGTGCGATGCGCCTCATCACTGTACATCTTAAAGAGAATACGCAGTGCGCAGGCAAGCGATTGCGTCTCTTGCTTCAGCAGATTCGGTTTCATGTTGCCACGAAAACTGGCCTTCCACAACACGTTGCGTTGCTCGTGATTCGAATTAAAACTCTTAGCGAAGCGATGCGACCGTAGGAGGCATTCTACCAACTGCAGGAGATGATTGGTTGTCAGAGCGCAGTACATGCCTTGCTCCTCCTTCTGCTGATCAGCGCCAGCCCTAAAAGCAATTTGCATTGCATATGAACTATATATTATACAATTTTAAAATATTGACGCAGTGACAGGACACTCACTTTACAAGCTCTGACGATTTGCCGTTCAACATGTCGGCTTGTGCGAGCGCTAAATTCTCCTGATCCTCCTTGCGCGATGTCGCTGGATAAAAAACAATGTTGTCGATAGTCTGTATTAACTCAAGCTGGACTACGCACTTAATTTGCAACGCGGAAAAAAGCTTTGCCTTTGGCAAGATCTCAGTATTCAAGCTTTGCACGCTGTTGCTCCTCTTCAAAATACCAACATGAAAACCATCGGATTCGCCGGTAATCACGTCGAGGTCCGTTTCCTTATTTGGTGAATGTGGTTTCCATGTGAGCAACGCAGATGGTAGAGTGCTTTCGAAAATGTCTAAGACACATTGACAAGTTTTCTGCCAAGTCTGCTCATCAAATTTGATGCCGTTACTGATGACCAGATTTTCCAAACAATTGGTGCCCGATCGTGCCAACTGTTCATTATCCTGCTGAACGCACCAGAGAAGCTGAAAATAGAGCTGTTCCAGCAACAAAGGACCCAGGATATCGTAAAACTGTGAAAACACATCTACAATGGCATACAGTGCGTGATTGCACGTTGTTGTCATCCACTCAGCTTTCTGCAACATTTAATGGATTATTTAAATATTTAGGTGTTCAAATAATCTTAGAAGAAATGCATTTATTTTCCCTTTTTTAAACTCAGAAATTATACGAACTTCGGTATGCTGTTCAGGCAACTTCATATTATCAAAGATCCTAAAAAGAACCTGAAAGAGGTCTTTCCACCAATGAGGCTTGAAGGATGCACCATGAGTTTTGACGACATCAAATAATACTGTCAACGCACGTGTCCTGACATCCAACTTACATCTGCTCACAACGCAGGATAATTCAAACAGCAGCGGGAACCATCCTCTCACCTACAAGAAAAAGAAAAAGAATAAGAAGATAACAATTGCGTCAAGCAATTCAAATGTTAATAAATGAGCTAAGATAACAATACCCAAGCTCGATCTTCCTCGGAGACCATCCCGCTTTCATCCATCATACCCTCGGCAAATAAATTGGGATTTGCATCAATATAAGAAGCACAGGAACGTATTAGCCGAATTGCCTCCATGCTAGTGTCCGGAAAAAAGGCGTTGCATGCAAATTCGCTCAAACATTTGACGGCGTCTTGGAAAGAGTCCACCATAATACTGAAGTCCTCTGCATATAACTCGTCTGAGAAAAAATTACACTCAAATTATACAAGACAAGTAAAAATTCCCGGACCGGTAAAATATCTCGAAAACAAAGCATTTTTAGGAAAAATGATATAGACAAAAGTTGTAGTTTAAAAAGATCTATTTACTGATCACATCTGTTTGATCTTGGGCGGTGTCGCAAATGTCAGAAGGTAACATTGATTTTTTTAAAATGAGACATCCTATGTTTTATTCCAGAATTTAATAGCTGATGTCAAGAGTTTTTTAAGGGGGGAACCTCATGTAAATGGCCTGTTTTTCAGGAATTTTTTTTGAAAAATGTAATGCGTAGATTAATTTGCAATTTAAGGCACAATTTATTTACGTTATAATATTGAAAGAAAATATTTTTTTTCAAGACTAATCGTTAAGAATAAAACGGTGCAATGGCGGCTTGAAAACAGCGTCTTGAAAATGCGCCGTGCAGCATACAGGTCACAAAAATGATCTGAAACAAAAAATACAAAATGGGTTCTTTAATTTATGCAAAAACGCTCAGCATGACGGTCCCCTTTTATTAAAATTTGCAAATTTACAAAAATGGCGAAGTTTTGAAAAAAAAAAGGATTTTCTTTTATAAACAATTGTTAATAACAATGTTTTAAATAAAAAAAATAAAAATCGGAGCTCGTCATGCTGAGGTCAAATATCTATAGAATTTCTATACCAAATTTCATAAAGATCGAATGATTAGTTTTTGAGCTACGTTGCACGGCGTGCGAAATTTTGCGTTTCGAGAAAAACGCGTTTAAAGTTTGAGTAATAGAAAAATCGTGAAAAAATTCGTAATTCGTTCTAACTTACCGCAGTTTTTTGCTAATCTGCGATTCCAGGGCCATAGAGTAGACCCTCCTCTTCTTCAAACTGTTCTAATTGAGCCGTTTTTTGCTGTTGTCGAAAAGTACGAGCCTCTTTGGTGGCATCAAGAGAGCGGCGCTCCTGCTGTTCAATACGGCGTTTGTCGTCATTATCGGCGAATCCTTTGCTCTGCTCTCCAATTACGATATTGAGATGTTGCATTGTTTGAAGGACGAACGAAAATCCTTCGTTAAACATGCCGGCAGCCAAAAAAGCAGCTATCTCAATGATTTTTTTACCACAATTGAGATGTTTAGGAGCTAAACGCCAGACGATAGCGTTGAAGCTCTCATTAGCATTTTGTGTATGCCCACCTAAACATCTCTCCAACAAATCATCCCGTGACAGATCTTCATAAATTGGACGAATATGTTTTTGCACATCTTCATGTAGTGGATCTGGATGGTCAAATTCTTGCCCCAAGGCTTGTGCGACGCGCCACTTACACCACGAGTCGGCGCCCGGAGGACAGCCGTCGTGCTGCGGTTTCTCATTTGTTGAAGTATAATGATAAAATGTTGCCATTATCGCCTTTCTCATCTCAATAACAGAATCACTGTTACGCCTGATAGCGAGACCGTAGTATCTTGTTAATTTTTTTATTAACACATCGGTCAGCTTTCCTTTTCCTCCTAATTTTGCACTTTTCTTTATATTGCGCAACCGACTGCCCATCCTCTTTTCCACATGTCCAATGCACTCGTTCTTTTTAATTTTGAACTCATGACCATATGGTTCAATATCCAAAATAGCTTTGAACGTTTTAGCGTCACCGTCTCCTATATAATTACTATAACGTACTCTGTGTAATTGTTCAGAGCGGAGAAACATTTCTACGACGGCATCTACTTCCATCTTACCCGATGAGCCACTGTGATTCACTGCACAATGCCCATCTTCTTTATGCTCCAAATATTCGGGATTATCTTTATCGTTTTTATAATATGTACATATTTGGCAATAACTACTTTTCACCAATAAATCGATGACTTTCCCCGTGTTATATCCAATGAGCGTCGTTACACCGTAGAGTGAAGAAAATCCTCGCTTTTTCCAAGAGCCATCTCCAGATACTTTGAGATTTGTTAAAGGTTGTTCCTCTTTCTCATTATATTGTTTTTCTTCCTCAACAGCTTTGTGACACGTATCATTATAAATTTTTTGCAGTGAAGCATGTATATGCTGTATAATGCCGTCATAAGCACGTTCACTCAATTCACAGCCTAAATCCATCATGCCGCAAAATATGTTTATACCTTTACGTGCCACGCCTAATAAACGCATCACAAACACAATTCTGCGGTTAATTTCAAAACTATTGTTTATAAAAGGTCCCGAATTAATCACAACAGTCCCACACGCACATGTAACGGCGATTTTAAATCCTAATCCACGACTGCCTGTTTCTCCAAATGTTTGCTTTCGTTTACATGTTTTGCACACAGAAATATCCGATATTGCAGCAAAAACACTTATGAATTCTATGATTCGGTAGCAATGTGTAACATTAATAATTATATCAGCTGACGTAGCTTTCATTTTTTTAGCTGAAGAGCTCATTCCTTCACCTCCGCTTGCCTCTTCACTTTCTGTCTCAGCACTCATTGGGTTGAATTTTTTAGGAACTTTTCGCCGTCTTGGACGATTCGGACGATAATTAGGATTATCACCTTGCACTTTTCGACTCATTTTCTTGTTTTCGAATAAATGCTTATTTTAAACTGCTCTGCGAACGACTGATCTGACTCAAGAGACGCTGCTGAACTGAGCGAGGGGTCACCTTTTTCAAAAACCATTACTCACATACACATACACATACAGACGTCGAAGACGGTAGGGATGACATCTGCTTTACATTAGTAGAAACTCTAACACAGCCAGGTCAAACTTTATTACAAAGGAACCGAAAGGCCGATTGTCCGACGAGCGCTCGACTATTTGAGTGCTTCGCCCAATTCGACTGTTTACTTTCTTTTGAAAATAAAGTACAAGGACCTCTCGGATCACTTTCTAACTTTTTTTCTCGTATTTTTGAGGAAATTTCCTATCAATTTAAGCAAAAAAATAAAATGGCTAAAAAATTTCATTTTACATGAGGTTCCCCCCTTAAAAGACTGCAATAAGTTCATTAAGTACTTTTCAAGTTTTGATGAGTTAGCATTACTCAAAGTGTCCGATCGACGGCTAAAATCTCTTGAATGTTGTCCAGGCTCAAACAAATGTAATCAGTAAATAGATCTTTTTAAACTCTACAACTTTTATCTAAATTATTTTTCCTGATTTAAATTATGACTAAAGAGAAAAACCACAGACAAAAACACGGTGACTATCTCTCTTAAACTTTTAAAGTAAACACAAAAATGTAACTCACTAATAATCTTGCCGGTCATGGAAAAGGCCAACTCGACCACAGATTCATCACGATCGCTGGCCGCATGGTGAAAAACACTGAAAATGTTCTTCCAACCTGACCTGATATTTGGTGCTTGCGAGTGAACAATTTGCGCTACACATCTCACAACCATATCTCTAATCACAGGCGACCTGAATTATATTTAATTAAATTACACCATAATTAGACAATTATTGGATATATTAAAATTTGGAATATATTGTAAAACTTTTATAAACGTTTAACATATCCTAATTGATCTTATATTATAAAAAATGTTTTACATAAATTATAATATGTCGGATTATACTCATTATATATTGCGATTAAATTAAATTAATCTAATTAATTAATTAAAAGAATTAAATTACCTATTCTTCTTCATGATGTGTTCAAATGGCCTAAGAAAGTCTTTTTGGAATCTAAAATTGGCAAATTCGCCCTTTTCAATAAACTTAGTAGCTAGTTGTCTCAGAGAATCCACTGCGAAAAACGCGATATCCTGTCGAGGACTGCATCCTACCCTGTCGAAATGGTCACCGAGGACTTGCCAGATTCTAGACCACTGCAACCTAATACGACCCATATTGTAGTATGAGATTTCAACGATCTTCGTAAGAGAAAACATGCGCGGTTGCGTGGGGTGTGCTAACTCCTCAAGGGATACCTGAAAATTATTTATCATTATTAAACATTTATTATATAATTTAATATTCATGTAAAAATCATTGATTGAATTTAAGAGAGAAATACCTGACAGAGAGCCTTGACGAACTCGACAATGGCATCACCATCGAGTCTCGTCGAGCCAGTGAAGATACGATCAACGGCTACGACGACACTCTGCGAACTAGTTTCGCCAATGGACTCCTTTACGCTAGGATCCAACGAGCTCAGATTGAGATTGTTGGTTTGGTGCGAATTGGCAGAGTGCGCGAGACTGCCGAAATTTGCTAATGGTGAGGGAAAGTGCGGTTTTGACGGTGGACCCAGCAATTGTGGCCGTACTCCAGTGCCTATCAATTGTGCCAATTCCAGCTGGGAGATGCATTTAACGACATCGAGCCATGAACTGCCTAGATAGTTGCCATCGGTATGAGCTACTGTGATAAGAGTCTTGATAGTATCGATGTTCTTCGCTTTCATTTCGGTAATGGGGGAATTGGCCGTCAACAAAGTGAATCTCGCTAAAGCTTGTACATAGGCATCGCGTTCGAGGCTCATGTGAAAGATGCAGGCGATACGAATGGCACATCTAAAATAACACATAGGTAATACAAAACAACGAAAGCATAGTATAAATCTGTCTTTCTTCATTTTATATTTTCTTCCTACCTGATACCATCTAAGCAGAGCGACGCAATCTCTGGATCGTCGCAGTCTTGAAGTCCAACACTGAAGGCCGCGAGAAATGGCGTCCAGGCCATTTTGAACATCGGCCGCACGTGTTCCAAATGTTTCGCTGTAGTAAACGGTGCCTGAACATGACTGACGGATTCCATCAAATTTTTCGCCGCTGTAGAAATTACTTCCATTTCCATGTTCCATAACAACCGTCGCTTCTTCTCACTAGAAATCAGCTGTTTTCCGGCAAGCCGGCTATTAGGATTTGATTTCATCTTAATTTCGTTGCCGGCAATTTCGTCGTAGATCCTAGACAAATATTCCTCAGGAAGATCCTCATTGTCACTGTTGCGCCGATTAAGCCTTAATGAATGAAAGAAAAGAATTTTAGACTTTTTATGATTAAAAAGATATATATGAAAAAAATACAAAGAGCAACATACACACACACACAATCACTATGCATTTTTATATAATATTATAAATTATTATATGTTAAATACTTTTATAACTGTTTTTTTTTCAAGAACTTTCTTGCTGTGGTTTAATTCATAGATTTCAGAACACTCTGTATATTATTAAGAGCATTAAATATTATTTATATTAGATGTGCATAACAATTTAATCTCGGACTGAGTTTTTAAGATCAGGTGGAAGCTACCTTACATTTTTTTAAATGAAACTTCCTACTTTTTTATTGCATATTCTCATAGCAACTGTCGACATTTTCGAAACAGTGGTCATAAAAATGTTTCTAAAGAATGTCCTGAATTTTAAAGTTTACTGCTGACAATTGAAATTGTAAATTATAATTAATTAAAAAAACCGCTGAACATACCTAATGTATTGTTCTTTGGTCATTTTATTCTTAACTTGCGGCGAGTGCAAATCGGTGGTCAGCATTATGATTGAGAAGCCAAGAATATAGGCTGTATCCGCGCTTGTAAAAAGGCCGTTATTAGGATTACACTCGCAATAGCGACTAGCAAACTTTTCCATCAATCGGTCGATCTTCTGTGCCTCGCCAGGTAGCCGAAAGCCTTCCAAGAAATATCTGAGCGCGGTTACTAGATCGCGATCGGCAAAATTCATTTGGTCAATATAATGGTACATTACCTGCAATAAACGGTATACAAAATTAGTCACTGTCTAAATTAATTACCAACATAATTATACGCAATCATAACGTGATCAGAACTGACAAATCATGGCCTATTTACGTATTTATAATTGAATCGGCAAGTTGCAGAAAAGGGATGAGTCCAATTTTTTTCGAAAATAAGTTTCTTTTCATTAATTTTAAATCTTACGCTTTTGGTGCAAACAGAATACTCTCAGGCTTCCAAGAGCATAAAATAGACATCGAAAATGAACAATAAGTGTAAAAAAGAAATAAATGCAAGACTTGCAAAATTGGAAAAATTGGAAAGTTACATTCCGTCAGAATATAGCTTTTTGAAATTTTTGAATAGTCAATGATTAAATTTAAAATGCAAATAGAAAGATTTTTTAATAATCAATGCTTTAACTTGAAATCGTTTTGTGTAAATTATCTCATATTTTTTTAACATACAAAGAGACAATTTGAGATAAGTAAAGTATCTTAATAGCGTACTATAAATTTTTTTAATGCAGAAGGAATACTGAGTGCAAAAAGGATGAGATCCAATCTTGAAGTTTAAATTTTTTATTTAATAAACAAGCATTTTAGGAACTCATGTTTCAAAAACATTATTAAATGTCATATTTAAATTAATTTTCTTAAAAGTAATTTTGTTATTTCCACTGAACTAACTAAAATTAAATAGTTTTTTGTTAATACTAAAAAAATTTGATAAATTACTTGTCCCCTTTCTGCATTCATTTAATTTATAGTCTATTAATTGTAATTTTTCTTCTCAATTACTTGGTTATGATTATGATCACCCAAAAAATCCCCAATGGCGGTTTTATCGAGTCGCTCGTCCAGGTGCAGCCACCTGGCTACATCCTCCTGCGAAGTACCAAGCAATCCTTGTTCCTGCAAATACTGCACACCTTTGCCAGGCTTTCGGCTGAAGATCTCGATACCAGTCTCCCATACTTCTTTCTGTTGTTTCTGTACTTCATACTGCTCCGGCGAATCCGGTACCTCCTTATTACCGATTAAACTGGAATTGGCCGAAGAGAGGCTGCCGGCGCTGCCATAACGTGGCAACGGGATTTCTGGCGCCGTATCTGGTAGATCTGACAACGGTTGTTGGTCCGCCGGTACACTAGGATTCACGTAGAGATCTCGACTCCACTCCACCATGCACTTCAAAATAGATACAAGGCATTCGAGACCACGGATGCGCATGGACTTCTCCTGCAAGAACAAAATACTATATTAATCTAGATATCGTTTTGTTGAAGAACATTCACTAAATAATGGGCATGTCCAGGAGAAGGAGGATTTAAACAATTCTCGAAGTTTTTTATTCACTGTTTCACTTTTAATTATAAAGAAATACAACTTTACTTTTGATCATCAGTATATTTTCCGTTATCGAATATTTATGATCGTGTAATTTCTGGAACTTCTATTAAAGCTTTGAATGAGTTTGATACATAAAGAAATTTTTGCAAAACTTTACATAAAGTCTTAATAACTGTATTTTGCTTGAATAAAGAACCATATAAATCACGAGGCATTAGGAGTCAGCGCTAGAACGTATAATATAAAAGTATAATATACAATAATATAAATATACATAAATTTAATCGATTCTGAATAACTTATAGTTCTGAACAAGTTGTTCAAAATCGATTAAATTTATATATATTTATATTATTGTATATTATATTTTTGCGCAATATCATTCTAGCGCTGACTTCTAACCTCGTGATTTATATTGTTCTATTAATTAAAGGAGTTCTTAAACTAATTATTACTTCAATTTGTTATTGTATTTTGTTCATATTTTTTGTAGGAAAAAAAATGAAAATTATGATACAAAACCTAATATTTTTTCATTCAAAATCAAATATAAAAG